AGCGCACTACCACTTGAGCCACATCCCCAGCCCCATGGCTACATCACATTTCTGTGGTATAGTTGGCGGCTTAACCACTGCTTACAAAACTGTTTCTATTGGGTTCTGAAATAAATACCCAGGTTTCAATCAGGGCTTTGTTACTTACTATCAGGCAAACATTATAAGCTTCAGTTTCTTTATCTATTAAAAGTAAATGACTATTTCTACATCTTTTGGTTGCTGTGAAAATTAAATATCAAACGCATACACATAGTTCAATATTGGGTGTATAAATACCCAATACATCAGGCACAGGAGTGTACACCTATAATTCCAGTGACTTGGGAAACTGAGGCAGGAGGATTATAGGTTTGAGGCCAGTCTTAGCAACTTAGTGAAGCCCTGAGAAACACAGCAAGAACCTGTTTCAAAATAAAACAGGACTGGGATGTAATTTAGTGGTAAAGTACCCCTGGGTTCATGAGTTCAATCCCCAATACCCTACCACCACCTGCAAAGTGAAGAATAAATAGTAATTCCCTTTACCTCTTCCTCACTGCCACTTACCCTAACCCTCAAATTGGGAACATTAAATTTATTCCTATAATAGATCTTAAACCAATAAGCAAAAGGCAATCTGCATTTAGTTTACAGGGTGAATATTATTCCTAGGTGAATATAAAATCAACAAAGATTGACTAATGTTATTTATATATGACCTTGTTTATTAAAAGAAATACAGATATCAATCAATATATATTTTCAGTTTGGAGAAATCAATCTTTTAAAAATTTTTAATTGATTTTTTAAAAAATAAATGACAGCAGAATGCATTACAATTCTTATTACACATATAAAGCACAATTTTTCATACCTCTGGTTATATACAAAGTATATTCACATCAATTCATGTCTTCATACATGTACTTTGGATAATAATGATCATCACTTTCCACCATCCTTGCTAACCCCCTGCCCTCTCCCTTCCCTTCCTATCCCTTTGCCCTATCTAGACATTCATCTATTCCTCCCATGCTCCCCCTCCCTACCCCACTATGAATCAGCCTCCTTATATCAGAGAAAACATTTGTTTTTTTGAGACTGGCTAACTTCACTTAGCATTATCTTAAAGAAATCAAACTTAAGGACAGATATGTAGGAGTAAAGTATAATCCTATGAGGCAGGGAAATATGAAGGCAGATGCAGGAAACCTTGAAAAAGGTTTCATATATTAGGCAATGACAATAGAATTAGGCTCCAATGATAGACCTGGGCCTCAAAAATCTAACATTTTGATAGACATCAAACACAATATATTTATCCAAATGTTAGAATTCCACAGTCAGACCCAGCAATTCCACTTCCAAGAATTTATTCTTAGAATATCTAAATGAATATGAATGTAGTTATAAGCAAGTTCCCTGTAGCAAAAAGTAGAAGGCAAGCTAAATGTCTATCAACAGTCAAGAGTTTGAAAAAATAACAGTTCTTCTATAGAGTGGAATATTGTGCTAATTAAAAACAGTGCTGTGATTATTTTTTAAATAAAAAAACAAAACTAGGTATTCAAACAAAAAAGAACACTGTAGGTTCATTTAGCTAATAAGGAAAAATGATCCATATTTTTTAATGAAAAATATTTCAGTTTACAAATATGCATAATATAATCCTATAAATAAGTGTAGGTTTATACATTCATTAGAGTCTTAAGTATCTAAGTACAAGCTAATTAAAAGAGGTATTTGATTACAAGGGGGGAACATTCTTTTTTTTACTTCATACACTAAATTTTAATGTTTTACAACAGTATCATTTTCTTAAATTAGCAGAAATGAAGATAGCTGTATTTTCAATGAAGAAAGAAGAAAGAAGTGAAAGAAGAAAGGAAATTAGCTTAATCTTAGTTTATAACAGTGATGAGCAGAAAGAACATTGCCCTGGGCTCTGCCACTGTTTCTATTACTTGGTTAAGTCTCTTTGGTTAGGACATTTCTTGGACTTTGGTTTCTTCACTTATAGAACAATAGTTTTTAGATAACCTTTTACAATCTGTTCCAAGTCTAAAATTCTATGGTTTCTATATTGAAAATAGTATGGTTATAGAATATGTAAGAAGTTACTTAATTCTCATAGACCAAACTGCATTCAATGTAACCATAGCATGGTTTCTATACTCCTAAGAAATATCTTTCACTGTCTAGTGATAATGACCTAGTTCCTCATTTGAAAAAATGGGGGAAGTGAGGACACTAAAGTATTTGCCTCAAAGAAATCTTGAAGATTAAAGTAGTTGATGAATGTTATTTGTTTAGCATAGCACCTAGCTTTGGTAAACACTCAATAAATGCTAGGTCATTACTTCACATTATACATTTTTCCCTTGGATGAAACTAGTTGTTTTTTCCTCTTTGATACCTTTCATCTCAATCAAGAGAATTTTTTTTTGAGAATCTTTTTCTTATTACAAAAACAACAAAAGCACGTAGTAAAAAAAAAAAAATCCAACGATTCAAGAAGGTAATAATAATAACAATAATAGCGCTGATATTTACTGAGCACATATGTACCAAGCATTAGGCCCGTGGTTCTCCGGCAATTTTGCCTCACAGGAGGCAAATATCTACAATGCTTGTAGATATTTTTGGTTGTCACACCTGTAGAGAGAAAGTGCTACTTGCACCTAGTAGGTATGTGCCAAGAATGCTGTTGCCCATTCTACACCTGGGACAGCATCTCACGACAAAGAATTATCTGGCCATGGTGTTAGTTCGAGGTTGAGAAACCCTCCATTAAGATAAGTTCTTCCTGTTCTCTTTTGATCATTTTTTAATACAACTTTAGATGAGAAGACTGAGGCTTAGTTAAGTTAACCAGGTCACAAAGTTATAAAATGGAGGGACAGAATATTGAACCACCACTGTCTGATTCTAAGTTTCTTGTGTTTGGAAATGTATTATGTAAACCAAGAGTATATATTTTCTTCCTTTGAGGATACCAAACATCGTTCTGCAACTGGAGAACTTTGCTATGTATATCTTTAACATCTTTGTATATAAAATTATAGGTATATCATTTTTTTTGAGAGAGAGAGAATTTTTTATTATTTATTTTTCAATTTTCAGTGGATACACATCGTTATTTTTTTTTATTTTTATGTCGTGCTGAGGATCAAACCCAGCGCCCCGCACATGACAGGCAAACGCGCTACTGCTTGAGCCACATCCCCAGCCCAAGATATATCATTCTTAATAACACAAAAGCATTCTAAAAAGTGTTTAAATTCATCATTATCAACTTATACATGATAATTTTGCTTTTGAGATTTATTACTAAAAGCCTGTCTCAATAAGTGTCTTTGTCTCACAAGAATATTTATAGGATGAATTCTTTTAAGTGCTGAGACAAAAGAGGTAAATGTAGTATAATTTTTCACAAATATTGCCAAACTGTCCTCCAAAATGCCTGAATCAATCTATTCTATCCCTTTCCCCAAACTGGGATATGTCCCCATGGAAAAGTCCCTCTAACATTGTTAAGTTGCATTCTTGTAATATCAAGTGAGGATTAGCATTTCTCATACTTTTGTTAATCATTTAGTTTTTCTCTATTGAGTTTTTCATTTTTTTCCAAGTAACAGCTCCTTTGTACGGTATGAAAAATAGACTTGTATCAATTCCCAAACCCAAATGCCAAAAATACTGCACTCACCAAAAAATTGCTTGTTGTCTTCATAGTATTTGTTTCCATATTTGTCTTCCCCCACTAATGTACCAACTCTCACATCATTTGCTCTGTAATTATCCCAAAGAAAACAGACATTTTAGAATGATTCATTGTTCACAACAAACCAAAATAAAGTGAGAATACCAACTTTCAGACACAAAGGCTGTTACATCAATTAGAAAAATGAGTTGCTGTGGATGGTCACTGGTTGTATACTTCTCGCCTTCACCTCCAGGCTCTTGCCACTTAATACTGAAGAATCAGCTTTCAGGTTAATAACTCTAGTCTTAACTTAGCTCATGCTACCCCCACCGTCCCAGTATCATGCAGACAGGATAGGAAAAGATAAACTAATGCAACTAATGCGCTTAAATTACATTAAAAATACAAATGTAACATATTCAAATTATAGGACTTTTATTACTCTCCCTGTGCAAACATGTTTGGAATAAGCAAATCCTCCAGGAAGTCAGGGAGCCAAAGTATTTCGTCTTTTATTTATTTACTTTTTTTTTTTTGTACTGGGGATTTATCCCAGGGGGGGAATTAACCATTGAGATACACTCCCTGCGCTTTTAATTTTTTGAGACAGGGCGCTAAATTGCTGAGACTGGTCTCGAACTTGCAATCCTGTCGCAACCTCCCAAATCGCTGGAGTTACAGTTGTTTGCCACCGTGCCCGGGGCTTCATCTTCTAAAAATGATTCAAATATTTCTTGGTTCCTTCATTCCACTAGGTCTCCAAATCGTTTTCCGGGAACTATGTGCCCGTCAGGGATGTTTGGAATAGTGAAGACCATTTTGGTTACCTCCTTCAATCTCTTAGCGCCCAGGGAGGGAACTGAAGGATAGTTCAAGGAAAAAACCTTCCCAAGGTCACCATGTGAACGTCTCTGATACTGCTCATTACACTCCAGGGGGCGGGGGTGCTCCATCTCTAGAGATGGCTTCAGTTCTGTCCTGTGGACGCCCGGGACAGACTTCGACCCGGGGGTTGTAGGCAAAGATTGGGCCAGCTGTCCTTGAGATTCTCCAAGGTGACCCAAGCCTGGGACCCTCCTCAAGGAACCAAGCAATGCAAATCCAGCCCCAGAAACCAAGAGCATAGCTCTAGACGCATACCTGAAGAAAACTCGCAAATAGCCACGGAGACCGCCGTGGCCACTGACCTGCTGCAGCCCGCGTTTCAGGACCTGCAGCAACTCCATCTTGCCTGGCAGGCCACGCCTTCCGGGTGCGCCGTGCAAAACCCACCGGGCGGAAGCAGGCACTCAGCCGCAGGGAGCTGACGCGCTGAAGGTTCCGACACTCGGCTCTGAGCGTGCGCAGAACTGCAACTTTCCTGCACGGTGACTTTCCGACTTCCTAAATGGGCGTTGTCGGTTCCTCAGTAAAGCAAAGGCACCTTAAACTTTAATGTCAGAGGTTGCACCTAGAAGGCGAGTGTGTGGTGGAAAGCTCGGCTTCACAAGGCTTTCCAATACAAGAGGTTCCTCCTTTGGAAATTTATTTCTTCATTTAAAAAGGTTTGGCTCAGACTATTCCAGAAATCCCTTCCAGCGCCAAGATTCCTTAGAAACGAGATAACTATTAAGGAATTTACTACTGACCACACACGATACACATGAAATGGGGTACATATATTGGTGAGATGTTGGCAGGGGAGTCTCACCGTTTGCTCTTTCAGACTCCATTCCACCATATCATTTCTTTTAAATGTCAAGATTTATGTTTATTCTGTAATTATAAATTTTCCTAATTTTAAGATAGTTTTAAAAATGGAAACAATATTATTTCTTGAAGGACCAAGTAATAAGACTGCACCCTGAGAAATAATGTAATTTTATGTTAGTAATTCTTCAATTCCAAAGGAGAAATTTCCAATACCAGGATCAAATTTTCCTAGACTCATCAATTGTTCAAAATCGTGTCATATTTGAATTTATATTGAACCGTGATTTATATGCACTTAAAATTTTTTTACCTGAAATATTTTTGAAGTATATCTAAGAACTCTTTCAAAAACATAACTACATCACCATTATACTGCCTTAAAAAGTTAACAGTAATTCCTTAGTATCATTAAATATCCAAAGGAATGTACAAATGTCCCTGGTTGGTCTTTTATTTTCCTAATAATTTCTTTTTTTTTTTTTTTTTAGTTTGCCCAAATAAGATCCACACATTGTAAATGGTTGATTTTTTAAAAAATATTTTCTTTAAATTTATGGCCTCCCTCTGCTGACTCTTAGTGGGGTAGGGAGGAGGAGCATGGGAAGAACAGATGAATTCTAGATAGGGAAGAGGGGAAGGGAGGGGAGGGGGCAGGGGATTAGCAAGGATGGTGGAATGTGATAGACATCATTATCCAAAGTACATGTATGAAGACATGAATTGGATGTCAACATACCTTATATACAAAAAGATATATGAAAAATTGTGGTATATATGTGTATTAAGAATAGTAATGCTGTTATTTGTTTATCAATAAAAAAGAAAATAAACAAATAAGTAGATTTATAGCCTCCCCCCTTTTTTTCTTCTTTCCTTTTAATTTGTTAAAGAAATAGCCTATTTTTCCTATAATTTTTCATTGCTTGGAGCTTTGTAATTGTGTACTAGTGATACTCTATTCTGTTTTTCCTGTATATTTGTACTTAGACCTAGATATTTGACCAGTTCTGACTTCTTTCTTTTTCTCCCTTTCTTTTTCAGTATTGGAGATTGAACCTAGGGCCTCACACATACTATGTACACTTTCTTCTTCTTCTTTTTTTAAACTCTTTTTTAAATATTTATTTTCTAGGTGTAGATAGACACAACACAATGCCTTTATTTTTATGTGGTGCTGAGGATGGAACCCGGGTCCTGCCCGGGCTAGGTGAGCACTCTACTGCTGAGCCACAATCCCAGCCCCATACTATGTACACTTTCTACCACTGAGTGCCACCTACAGGTTTTGAGTTATTTTTACTGTTAAGTATACTTCGAAGGTAGCCATAGCCTTATTTCAGAGAGCACATAGTGTCTGCACATGGTGCTTTTAGCCATCCTTGATGAGCACTGCCTAAATACTTCCATTCCTTTTCATTTATTAATCACAATTCTTCTATAAAGAGTAACCTGCCCTTAACTATTTGGTTCCTGAGATACTGTTCATATAGGAAAGGCAAGATGTACTTTATTCTCTCCCTTATGCAACAGTCTTAAAAATAACAATTTTGGGCTGGAGTTGTGGCTCAGTGATAGACTGCTTGCCTGGCACGTGTGCACTGGGTTCGATTCTCAGCAATCATATAAATAAATTAATTAAATAAAGGTCCATAGACAACTAAAAAAAATTTTTTTAAAGAAAAATCTGGCTTCTTAGCAGTGTGCTTTGTGCATGTGCGTGGTAAAAAAAAAACAAAAATTTAATCTTTCCAGAGATGGTACACATGCCTGTAATCCCAGAGACTTAGGAGGCTGAGACCGGAGGATCACAAGTTCAAGACCAGCCTCAGCAATTTAGCAAGGCCTGCAGCGACTCAGTGAGAACTTGTTTCAAAATAAAAACTAAAAAGTGCTAGCGATGTGGCTTAGTGGTAAAGTGCCTGTGAGTTCAATTCCCAGAACCAATCTCCCCTCACCATAAAAAAAACCCAACTTAACCATTTTTACATATACAGTAATGTTAATTACATGCACATTATTGCACAACATCTCTAGAACTTATTCATCTTGCAAATATTAAATTGTATACCTATTAACAGCCCCCCCCTCCTTTATCCCTGGGGAAGACACCATTCTACTTTTTGTTTCCAAGAGTTTGACTACTTCAGACATTTATATAAGTGAATTCATGTAGTAGTTGTCATTTTTGCAATTAGCTTCCTTCACATAGCATAATGTCCACAATGTCCACCCATGTTGTAGTATATGACAGTGTCTTCTTTTTTTAAAAAGTATTTATTTTTTAGTTGTAGTTGGACACAATACCTTTATTTCACTTAATTATTTTTATGTGGTGCTGAGGATTGAACCCAGGGTCTCGCACATGTGAGGCAAGCACTCTAATGCTGAGCCACAAACCCAGCCTGACAGGGTCTTCTTTTAAAAGCCCGAATAATGTTCTATGTTACATATATACCAGCTTTTCTTTATCATTCATTTGTCCATGTCATTTAGGTTGCTTCCCCCTCTTGGCTGTTGTGAATACTGCTACAGTGAACATGAGTGTGCAAATATCTGTAAGATCCTGTTTTCAATTCTTTTCAATGTACATCTAGACATGGGATTGCTGGATCATATGGTAATCTTATTTTTAATTTTAAAGGAAACTCCATATTGTTTTCCATGATGCCTGGCTCATTTATACTCCTACCTGCTACAATGTGCAAGAGTTTCAATTTCTCCCCATCCTCACTGACAATTGTTACACACACACACACACACACACACACACACACACACATTTTAATAGTGGCCATCCTGATGGGTGTGATATTTCAATGTGTGTGTGTGTGTGCGTGTGTACTGGGAATTGAAACCAGGGGCACTTAACAACTGAGCCTCATCTCTAGCTGTCCCCCCCCCACTTTTTTGTGTATTTTATTTATTAGAGACAGGGTTTCACTGAGTTGGTTAGGGCCTTGCTAAATTGCTGAGACTTGCTTTGAACTGGGAGATCCTCCCTGTCTCAGCCTCCTGAGGGATTACAGGCGTGTGCCACCCAGCCAGGCTTATTTGTGTTTAATCTATTTCAGTAATGTCTTATAGTTTTCAATGTTCAAGTCTTCTACCTCCTTTGTTGATTTTATTTTTTGATGCTGTTGTAAATGTGTTGTCTTAAATATTTTTGAATTGTCACTGTTAGTATACAGAGTACAACTGACTGTTTTGTGTTTTTTATCCTCCAACTAACTTTACTAAATTTATTCTAACCTTTTTTCTTTTCCCCTTGGCAGTGCTGAGGATTGAAGCAAGGGCCTAGGATCTGCTAAGCAAGCAATCTATTAGTGAGCAACATCCCCTGCCTTTGGTGAAATCCTTAGGATTTTCTACATACAAGTTACATCATCTGAGGAACAGAAATAATTTTACTTCTTTTCCAGTACTGATGCTTTTCTTTTTCTTGCCTAATTGCTGTGGCTATGACTTCCACTAATATGTTAAATAGGAGTGGGCATCCTTGCCTGTCCCTAATCTTGGAAAACATTTTCAGTTTTTCACTGTTGAGTATTTTGTTTTAGGTTTTCACTCGGTCTTTTTGAGTTCCTTTCCCTCTATTCCTAGTTTATTTATTTTTTTATCATTTAATTTTGTCTGTATTGAGATGATTATGTAGTTTTCCTCTTCATTCTATTTATGTCCTAGATTCCACTGATTTTTTTTTAATATGTTGAACCACCCACAGATTTATTCCGGGAATAAATCTGCTGGTTATGGACTATAATCCTTTGAATGTGCTGTCAAATTCAGTTTGTTAGTATTTAGCTGCGGTTTTTCTGCATTGATAGCCATCAGGGGAATTGTTTGTAGTTTTCTTGAGTTTTTTCTGATTTTAGTATCAGAGTAGTGCTAGCTTAGAAAGTGATTTTGGAAATGTTCCTTTCTCTTTGATTTTCTGGAAGAATTTGAGGATTGGTATTCATTCTTTCAATATTCAGTAGAATAATCTAGTGAAGCCATCTGTTCCTGGTCCTGGTCCTTTCTTTATTTTTGATTGTTGATTTCATCTCCTTATTAGTTTTAAGTCTGTTCATATTTTTTATTTCTTCGTTATTCTTTCTTAGCATGTTTCTGGGAATTTATTCATTTTCCAAGATATCCAATTTATTGGTACAGAATTACTTTTTTTAAAACCTTTTTTTAGTTGTAGATGGACAAATAAATATCTTTATTTATTTTTATGTGATGCTGAGGATCGAACCCAGGGCCTCACACGTGCACGGCAGGGACCCTACCACTGAGCCCCAGGCCCCAGCCCCTCGTGTTTTTATTAATATTTTTTTTTCTTTCTTTTTTTTTCTTTGAGAGAGAGAGAGAGAGAGAGAGAGACAGAGACAGAGACAGAGACAGAGACAGAGAGATAATTTTTAAAATATTTATTTCTTAGTTTTCGGTGGACACAACATCTCTGTTTGTATGTGGTGCTGTGGATCGAACCCGGGCTGCGTGCATGCCAGGCGAGCACGCTACCACTTGAGCCACATCCCCAGCCCCAACATTTTATTTCTTGGCATCAATTGTAATTAATGTCTCCTTTTGTTTCTTTTTCATCTTTTATTCTTAGTCTAG